GCGCGGCGTGGCGCTGTAGTTTAGAGGTGTGCGAGTAACGAGTCCAGGCTCGAGTACTCGAGTAATACATGCGGCGAGTCCAGACTCGAGTCATAAGTAAATTACTCGAGTAAGGACTCGAGTAAGGACTCGAGTCCAGACTCGAGTCTGCAGGGGGAAAACAGAAAAAAAGGAGAAAAATTTGGTTTTTAAAAAAGTGAAGAATTGATAAAAGAACAATTTTGATAAGCAATTTTTTAAAACTGAAGGAAAAGGAACAAAAAAACCCAAAAATACCCCTTCCCCAAAGGAAAAAACCGAACCCCCCCCCCCCCCCCCCAGAAAAAAGCAAAAAGGAAACCACTGTTAGAAACCCACGATGACCAATCAAACTTCTTTCTTTTATGAAGTGCATTGTCTGAGGTTTGTGTACATTTTATTCTTACTGTTGTAACAAAGAATTATTTTTTAAAAATAAAAAATAAGATAAGATAAGATGAAGACTACCTCTTATCTAGCTTAGTTGTTATACAGTTGTAAGCTTCTCACTCACCCGGGGTGAGAGAGCGAGCCTTTTGGCTATTCTCTTCATGTGTGCGTTTACCGTGATGTGATACCCAGTGTAAACCACAGAATTCTAGATCTACACTTTTTTAAAATTGAATTCTGTCGTGTAAACAAACGTTCCAGTCCTCTTGTGTTAAAAACATGCAATTTTATCTGCGAGCATTGAAAGAGAGAGAGAGAGAGAGAGAGAGAGAGAGAGAGAGAGAGAGAGAGAGAGAGAGAGAGAGAGAGAGGAGTAGCCTAGATATAGCGAGAACTTCTGGGCAAAACAAAATGCCGATTAGGGTAGTTCGGCTCTATTCTAAAAGTGAAACAGCCGTAGCATCATTGTAGAACACCAAATTAGTTTTACTTTTGTGTTATAATATCATTTTTTTAAAAAGGGGTTTGTCAATTTAATCATCCTCACCGATAGGAAGTATTCAGAAATTAGGAACACCTGGTTTTGTTTCACAGCGGGTGAGAATAGCCAACACTGGCTAGTCTCACCCGGGGTGAGAGGTCGATCACATTTTTATTCTCACCTGGGGTGAGAAGAGCCACTTCCTAAGATAAAATAAAATAAATACGGTATAAACAGCATATGTCTAGAATTGCCATAAGCCAACTCAAGCTCCCTCCTAGGAAGGCACTCTATTTTCTCTCCGATATTCAACAAAACCTTTTTTGAAACCCACTAAAATTCCCTTTCGGGATACTATTACTCGAGTAATAACTCGAGTCTTAAGAGCCGTGGGACTCGAGTGATTACTCGAGTAATTACTCGAGTCCAGAGCAGATACTCGAGTCTGGACTCGAATCTTAATATGCTGGACTCGCACACCTCTACTGTAGTTTATTCGATTAATCGAAGGCCTGCGCAAGCCTTAAGTCCCGTCCGCTGCCACAGGCCCCACAATTCACACAGTACTGATTTGCGCTAGACCTAGAGATTTGCCACAAGACAAGCTCCAAACCTGACCTGCTGACTTGTACTGTCTCGATACACCGAGCGAGCGGCACGGGCTCGATGGCGTAGGACCGTCTCGAGGGCGACAAGACAGTCCGATGTGTTCAAACAGCAAGACAGTACTGCCCGCTGTGTGAACTTTGAACCGTGGAGGAAGGGAACGGCTGGGCTTGTTTTGGTGCAAGGCGTAGAGAGCTGAAGTTATTTTTAACTTCCCGCCGTTGATCAGCTAAGCGAATGGATAAGTGAGAGGGAGCGTGGTATTGTAGTAACAGAGACCTAGGTTTCTGGTAGTAATAAGAATAAGTTGACTTAGATTACCCTAAAATGGAAAACTCCAGGGGTCGTTGTGATTGGCTTTTGTATCGTATGTATGTAACCTATTTTGTAGATGTGTTACACTCACAGTGACATAATACAGAACATTTAGGAGACGGGCTAGGCCTACTTCAACCCAATGTCAGGGCCAACCTGGGCTGAGAGGGAACAACGAACGCCCCAGCAGAAAGACGGAGATTCTCAGTAAAAATTTCTCTCCATACGGGAATCGAACTGAGGTCTTTTGCGTGCGACGTAACATCATAAGAATAGCCGATCCAATATTAATTTTAAGTGCATTGAATAGAGCTTTTTGTTTTTTACAACCGAACTATGAAAAAACAACAACCGATCTTGCACTTTTGGTGCAAGCCTCTCAACGCAAATAACCAGAGAATCTTCTGTAATATGTAGTGAGCCCAGTGCCACGAGAGTTCGCGACGTCACGACACAGTACAGTAGGACTGTCCGCGAGTCACAACTCACCGGAAGTTCTCTCCGGTAGCAAACGGGAGGCAAATCAAACCACAAGCCTGCTCGCAAGACTCTAGCGCAAGACTCCTGCTGCTTTACAAGCCTTCGATTAACCGAGCAGAATCCAGCCCTAGCACGTAAGTCTTCAAGCATTGAGGAACAGGCTGCAGAGGAGATCAAAGCTTCCCCAATGTTCTCGTTCCAGCTTGACGAATCAGTTGATGCGGTATCGTGCTCATAGTTACTGATCTTTGAAAAATATGTGAAAGAAGAATTTTTATTTTGCACCCCACTGTACACCACAACAACAGCTAACGATATCATGGACAAGGTATCCTCATTTTTTTTTAAACGAGGGTCTTGAGTGGAAGAATTGTGTGGCATTTGTACTGATGGTACCGCAGCCATGATTAGACGTAAGTCGGGCTTTCCGGCAAAAGTGAAGGAAAAAGCACCACACGCAAAAGGTGTTCACCGCATGATACATAGATATGCACTAGCTTGCAAGGTTGTCAGTACCACTTCGAAGGATACATTGGAATCGACTGTTAAGATTGTCAACTGTATGAAACGCAGCCCCCTAAATACACGACTGTTCAAGGAACTCTGTTCTGACATGAGTGCACGTCATGAAACATTGCTTTTCTACACTCAAGTTCGATGGTTATATAAAGGAAACGTTGTATGCCGGGTCCTCGAGCTGAGAGAGGAGATCAAGTTCTTCCTGAAAGTGCAAGGAAAAGATGAGCTCAGCATCACTTCTTAAATGATTTGTGGATTCAAACACATGTCTGATATGTTTGACTAGATCTACCTCAACAAACTCAACTTGAAACTTCCAGATCAGCAGACACACTCTCGACAGTTTAATGACGTTCTGGGTGGCTTTCTTTCACAAGTTCAGAATTGGCACCGGAAAGTTACAGAGGGAAACATTGCTATGTTTGCCAACCTTTCACAGGTGTTAAATCCAGGGGCGACCCTGTCTGCTGATCTTCAAGTTGACATTGCTGCACATTTGAAATCACTTGAAGATGAGTTCAAGAACTTCTTTCCTGACCTTGACTGTGGTGAAGAAGCTCTTGTGAGAAACCCTTTCACTCCTGGACCAGACATCACTGCCATTGCAGATGACATTCAAGACGAGCTTTTGGAATTGAGACATGATTCGTCAGCACGCGACACTTTTCTGGAGAAATCTCTTGCACAGTTTTGGTGTTCAATCCAGGAGTCATTATCTCAGATCAGCAAAACAGCAGTTCGAGTCATTGTCCCATTTGCCTTGACTTAAATTTACGAACGTGGATTTTCTACCCTTGTCCAACACAAGACAAAAGCAAGGAATATATGCTCCTTGCTTTACCCAATCCTTCCCCGAGAATTTCAAGACTGGTCGCTGAACTACAGGCACAGCCCTCTCACTACTGTAGTTGTTTTTTAACACTTTATTTGGGGTTGGGGCATGAGGGATCGTTCCATTTGCCGAACAATCAAAAGGGGGTCGCGGATTGAAAAAGGTTGAAAACCGCAGGTCTAGATCGAGACCTTCATTTTTTTCAATTTTCTTTTCTTCCCCTGATCAGAAAATCCAAGCTCCCGCCTGTACTTTATGTAGTATGTAGATCTAGGCCTAGAAGTGAGATGGTATGTTTCCAAACGAGAAGTGTTCAGGTAAAAAAAAAAAAAAAAGAAATTAAACATGCAGAAATGCGCACTGATGCTGTTTGAGATGTTTGTCATCAGGGGGAACAACTGTTTTAATTACTGGTATTATTACATCGTTTACTATAATAATAATTATAATAACTTGTCTCCTTTCTATTCTTTAGCCTTAGTCACGTTCAACGAGAGGTCGGATCCAAAGAAGACAACAAGCCAGTAGCGGCAACATCGTTGAATGCAACACCCACTGTATACATGTCTGTGTTGAGTGTGTATGTGTGTGTTAAGTGTGTGAATGTGTATGTGTGCATGTGTTTGTGTGTGTATGAGCTTATGTGTCTGTATTCTGTATGTTATGCGTGTGTATGTGTGTATGTCGATTTGTATATATGTGTGTGTTAGTGTGCATATGTCTGTTTGTATGTGTATTTGCTTATGTGTGTGTATGTGTGTCTGTGTGTGTGTGTGTGAGAGAGAGAGAGAGAGAGAGAGAGAGAGAGAGAGAGAGAGAGAGAGGGAGGGAGGGAGAGAGAGAGAGAGAGAGAGAAAGACAGAGAGACAGAGAGAGACACAGAGAAAGAGAGACAGAGAGAGAGAGAGAGAGAGAGAGAGAGAGACAGAGAGAGAGAGAAGGGGGGGGGGGGAGTCTGAGAGATACTGTAAAGGTTGTTATATATATTTATGCAAGTGTCATGGGTCTATTTGTGTGAGTGTGTGTGTGTGTCTGTGCGTGTGTACGTGTGTGCGTGTGTTTGCTTGTTTTGTGTGCGTGCGAGCGTGCTCGTGCTCTTTTTATGAGCGTTTTTGTATGCTGTTGTTTTATTGTTGTTGTTGTTTTATTGTTGTTGTTGTTTTGTTGTTGTTGTTGTTTTATTGTTGTTGTTGTTTTGTTGTTGATTTTGTATGTTGTTGTTTTCTTGTTGTCTTTGTTTGTTTATGTCGTTGTTGTTTTAGTTTTGTATATCTTTCGTAGGAAAGACAAAGTGAGATAGCTGGACTCGATGATTGAACTTGTCTGTTTTCTTTCCTCCTTCCTTCCTTCCTTCCCCAGCCATTGACGGTGGAGTAGAAGACTGGAGCGAGTGGTCAGAGTGCTCTGTGTCTTGCGGAGGTAAAAATGTGTCCTGACGTAGTGAAATCAAACGCTCGTCAGTTTTGGGGCATGAGGAGTTATTGGTATCTTCTTAAAGTAGGGGGTTTCCGCTAAAATCCCGGTTTTTCCTCTTTCTCGGCTCATAACTTTATTAGTTCTTAACCTAGCATCATAAAACCAACATGAATTGAGAGGTCTATATGTGCTTTTTGTTTCCATGTTAGTTTCAATTGGGGGAGAACTGCGTAACATTATTTTTGAGTTAAAACTACAAGGGTCGGTACGCGTTCTGCCACAACTCGTGGCACGCAAATTTTGACAAATTTAGAGCGCAGCGTATTTCAGACGGTTTATTCGAGCTGAATTTTCCATCGCTAGCCGTTGTAGGTGGCCGTTGAAATCACGTGATTCTGTAGTAGAATTGGACGCTGAAGAGTTTGCAACCCACACGGAGTTTGTACGACGCTTGTGTAAAAAGTTATGGTAATATATATATTATCTTCTAAATTATTTTTTATTAACAATGGAAAACGCCCCCGGGGCAAGTTATATTGCTAGATATATCATTTAACTCTCTAGAAATATCATTTTTGTTAAAAATGATTAAAGTTTTGTCGAGGAAAATCGAACTTTACTACACTACCCTAGTTCACTTCGTAAGGTAAAAAAATAATTCACCCGCAGAGCCAGAAACCAGGGGCAAGTAACTCTGGATTTTTAATGTAACTGATGTAAAAAAAAGACAACTGCCATCAAAGGTATGGCTAGTTCTGGTAGTACAAGGGTGACCAATATTATATTAACGGCCAAAGATACTTTTTTTATATTTGAATACTGAATATAAGAAAGTTGAAACTAAAATGAAACTTTCAAAGTCAAAGGATATTAAAAAATGTGGTGGGATTTGGTCTTCCTCCAATGTGATAAAAAGAGTGAAATCGTATCAATCCAAGAAGGAAAAGGTTGATTGAAGAAAGCGCTGCTCAAGTACTAGAAACTCTTGATCGATGGGCGGTGTGGGGGGGGGGGGGGGGTCAGGTCAAAATGCGTTTTCCCAGACTCTGTTTGCATTACGCTAGCATATACGTTTGTCGCGGTCGCAATTTTAGGCATTTTTGGATTCGCAAATCGCTGCCGCAATTTTTGCATAAGTTTTCAAAAAAGACAAAACAACAAAGCTACTTCAAAAACATACTAGACATGTATTTTGATAAGTTTTAAGATGTCCCTGTGTATCTATTTTCATGCCGAGAATATAAGTACATTACATTACCTACTGTTTATATTGCTGTCTGTCTCTTATTTTTCCCTCTTTGTTGCGTTTTAATTTGTTGGTGAGTTAATTTTTCAAAAAATTGTTCTGATGATTCGTTTTTCTTTTTTTGCATTTTTACGCATAGTGTCATTCCATTTAATGCTGTTCCCACCCTTTTAAAAATGTAAATGTGTTATGTTAGAGCGTGTCTCCTCCAAAACCGAATACTGACACTGGCACACCCCAATTGTGTGTGATTCCATAATATAATTTACATGTGGTATCCTGCAAGCCTACTTTTTCTTGAATTACACACGTTTAGGGTTAAAACAGCCAATCTTCAGATAGGTGGACACGTGCCCTAATTAGTTAATTTTTGTGGTTATTTATACGTGCTATTCTAATTTTGATTTCATTCTATTGCGAAACGTTTATTTTCAACGTTTTTACTAGGGCTGTACCCCGGTAGTAAACCCGCTCGTGCTCTCAAGCCCCTAGTTCAAGTCACAAGCCTCAAATCACTAGGTCAAATCATCAAATCAAATCACCAGCATGATAAGTTGGTCTAGCGCAAACTGTAACCTCCTTGGTCTAGTCTAAACTTCAAGTCCACAGTAACTAGCAATCCGCGAAGCCACTCGTGTCAGACCCCCTCATCATCCCCACCCTGCTTGCAATCCACGATGCCATTTACGTCAGAAAAAGAGAGAGGGGGAGAGTGAGAGATCCCGCCCACAGTGTCACTGCGCGGTGTAGCTCTGTAGTCTGCTCAATTAATCGAAGGCTTTGCAAAGCAGCGGACAGCCGCAAGTCTCAAATCCCGTCCGCAGCAACAAGCCCCACGATTCACACAGTACTGATTTGCGCTAGGCCTAGTGAATTGTCCCAGGACAAGCTCGAAACATGACCTGCTGACTTGTGCTGTCTCGATAGAGCGAGCGAGCGGCACGCCGCAAGACCGCTCGATATGTTCAAACAGCAGTACCGCTCGCTGTGTGTACCGTGGAGGAGGGAGATGCTGGGCTTGTTTTGGTGAAGAGAGAGAAGTTATTTTTAACTTCCCGCCGTTGATCAGCTAAGCGAGTGGATAAGTGAAAGGGAGCGTGGTATTGTAGTAACAGAGACCTAGGTTTCTGGTAGTAATAAGAATAAATAGACTTACCCTAGAATGGAAAACTCCAGGGGTCGTTGTGATTAGCTTTTGTATCGTATGTATGTAAACTATTATGTAGATGTGTTACACTCACACTGACATAATACAGAACATTTAGGAGACGGGCTAGGCCTACTTCAACCCAATGTCAGGACCAACCTGGGCTGAGAGGGAACAACGCCCCAGCAGAAAGACAGAGGCTCTCAGTAAAAATTTCTCCCCATACGGGAATCGAACAGGGGGTCTTTTGCGTGCGACGATGAAGCGCTTGGCTCGTGCACATTAAAAATAAACAACACTTAACATGTAAGAATAGCCGATCCAATATTAATTTTTAAGTGCATTGAATAGAGCCTTTTGTTTTTTACAACCGAACTATGTAAAAAAAAAAAAACGATCTTACACTTTTGGTGCAAGCCTCTCAACGCAAATAATCAGAGAATCTTTTGTAATATGTACTGAGCCCACAGCAACGAAGGTTCGCGGCGTCACGACACAGTACAGCAGGACTGTCGGCGAGTCACAACTCACCGGAAGTTTCCCCCGGTAGCAAGCGGGAGGCAAAGCAAATCATAAGCCTGCTCGCAAGCCTCTAGCGCGAGCCGTCTGCTGCTTTGCAAGCCTTCGATTAACCGTGCAGAATCCAGCCCTAGTTTTTACCCTCTTGGTGACTACAAATGATGTCCTGGATGCTCAAAACAGAGCACAAGAAATTCTGGTGCTATAGATTGTTACCTCTATCAACATATTGTTATGTTACGTCGTTACAGAGAGTTGAAAGCTTGAAAATTAATTTCAACTTCTTTGACAACTTTTTGTAGCAACTTTTGGCAACTTTTGGCAACTTTTGGACAAAAAATGGCAACAAACGCAGATGCTAGATTACGCAGTAGTCATTTGGTGCAGAGTTAAAAATACATTGAAAAATCTTGATGATAAGTTCACTTGGCAGCAAGGCAAGGTGAAATAATAATTAGTATTGAGCTCCTCAGAAGAAGGATATTATTATGATTGTTGCTCCTGCCAAGTACAGTGGCTCAGAAGCCCATGTTACTTTGAACTTCAGTTGTGAAATGAAAAAACGGAATCTTGTTATTGACTGAGAATATTGCTGATTGGTAATATGGCATGGTATCGTAGGGAGTTTACTTATTATGTACTTTGCCTACCTTTAGCAGCCTCTGTTACCTTTTATACTTATGGTGTCGAGGCGAGAAGCAATTATCTTTCTCTTAATTTTTATGTATGCTTATATTGTTTTTGTTCAGTGTTTCTCCTACTGTTCCAGCACTCTCTGTCTTGTTGATTTATTATTGTTTTATTCTGCTTTTCCTGCCCTGCTTCTTCGTGTGTGTGTTTTTTTAGTTAATTAAATGTAGGTGGTTTTACACCCCCTTCCTGTCTGTTCGGGCCAACCTGGTCTGAGAGAGATACTACAACCATAGAGTTACCCCCTTTTAAACTAGAGTCCGTACGAGGTTTCGTGACACGGACACATTTGAGTTTGTTGGCGGCCATTTTTGATGTGGCTAAAAAGTTTGTTTACATGTGAGTGGGCGTGTCTCTGCTCTTAGTCTTACATGTTTTATTTGATTCTAACGTTATGTTTTGATTCAAAGCGATTCTCTTAAAGGTGCAAGCATGTGAAACCTTTTGTCCCTTTCTGGATGAACGTCTTACTGGTTCTGTCAGGCAGTTCAGTGATGTCTTTTATTACATCATCTATTTTAGTGCATAATATGTCTTATAGACACAAATAGTCACTCCGGGTTGTGTTTTTTTTTAAACATAAAGAGCCATCAGTAAGGTTCTGGGCCATGTGAAGTTAAGGTTGATTAGCAGCTAGGGGGGGGGGGGGGTTGGTATTGGGATTCGGGAGGAGAGAGAGGGTGGGGTGGTTTTGGGAGGTTCCCATGACACCCACATCTTTTCATACTTCTTTTTAAAAGTTCTATAGGCCCTATACGCTTTGATTCGGTCAATAAGAAATAAACCACCTCGTAGATAAAGTGCTGATGAAGAAATAAAGGTTTGGTTTTTTTTCTTCTTTTTTTTTAAAGCCCATATCTCTATCTCTATCTATTTAATAATACATTTATTTGTAGATCTAGTTGAAGAAAGAACGCCGTATTATTGCAATTTAGTAATTTAGATATAGTACGCCACGGCGCCCATGTAAAAAAAAAATCAACAAGAACCAAGCCTCGCCTGTCGCGTATGAGAGAGAGAGAAAACATGTCTAGCCCATTGCTTTAGCATGAACTCCTTCACACAACTTGCCACAAAAAACATGGCGGACGCCGCTGTCAAATGTGGCCATCGCGCAGCAAGGCGAGAGAGGGGCGTACTGTATCTAGTACTATAGTGTACATCTATGACTACAACACAGTAGAAAGACAGAGATACTATACTGTTTAAAAAAAACAACAACAAAAAACAATAAAAACCGCATAACCAAATTGGCCACCGTGTATAATCGTAAAGCACTCAATAACTGTTGATATAAATGAAGGAAAGAAAATACGTTTTGAAATTTTAGTCATTGCTGTTTATTGATTATCAATAAAATTGAATTGATTTTGAACCATCAATTGGATGCTCCAATCTGTCCGTCCGAGGGCGGCCATTCATACTGGGTGTGGCCTCCTGCTGACTGGAGTACCGCTTGACATCTTCTGGGCTTGGAGGTGATGAGACGACGAATGTTGGGGAGGGATATTGCCCTCCACTCTTCATCTAAGGCGGCAAACAGTTCATCAGGAATGGCAGGGGCCGACAACTCTGTTCCGGAGACGTCTGTCCACAGCATCCTTAATGTGTTCTATAGCGTTCATATTCGGTGAATTTGAAGGCCATGGGAGTGTCTGGACATTGTTTCTAGCCAGAAAGTCTCTAGTTACTCTGGCAGTATGCGGTCTGGCATTGTCCTGTTGGAAGATTGCCCCTGGTTGTTGAAGCAATGGAAAGGCATGTGGTAGGAGAACGTTGTTGATGTAGGCCTGGGCTGCCAGATTACCTTGTACTCTCACCAGGTTCCTCCTGTGTGTGGTTGATTGCTCCCCACACCATCATACTGCCACCACCATGCGATAAGGCCTGGGAGATGCATGCAGTTGCGAACCTCTCATTTCGATGTCGGAAAACTCGACGTCGTCTGTCGTGTCGAGAGATGAGAAAATTGGATTCATCACTAAACCATACGTGCCGCCAGTTCTGTAGCTTCCAGTTGACGTGCTGAGTGGCCCATTGTCGTCGCTGTTGGCGATGCCGGTCCGTCAACAATGTCCATAAAGGTCGATATGCGCGGAGCCCTCTTTCTCGGAGTCGGTCGCGTACTGTCTAGTCGGAAATTCTGATGACATTCCGAAGCGCTTGGACGGTTGAAAAGGCAGGCACAAAACGATCCCGCAGGTGATGACGCTGAATAAAGCGATCCTGGGCTCCAGTTGTTGCCGTCCACTTCTCGGTTGATCGTCAGTGGAGTTGGACTGTTGAGTTGGACTGTTGAGTTGGACTGTTGAGTTGGACTGTTGAGTTGGACTGTTGAGTTGGACTGTTGAGTTGGACTGTTGAGTTGGACTGTTGAGTTGGACTGTTGAGTTGGACTGTTGAGTTGGACTGTTGAGTTGGACTGTTGAGTTGGACTGTTGAGTTGGACTGTTGAGTTGGACTGTTGAGTTGGACTGTTGAGTTGGACTGTTGAAACCTTGCAAAAAGTCGCCTGATGGTAGACTATGACACGTTGAAATGTATGGCAACATCAGTTTGACTTTCTCCGGCTTGCAAGCGTCCAATAGCCTGGTTTTGCTCTTCTATCGTTAGTCGTGGCATGGCGTATCGCTGAACTGACAAACCATTTTTTCGGCCATTATAGAGCCACCCAGTGAATGAACTCATACTCATACGCCAAATTTCGTTCGACTACTCACAAAATTAGACAAGTTATGAGCTTTTTAACACTCAATTATCACACAATTCAACAGTTTAGGCTGTGCCTATCTGTAACTCTCAGTAAACAATGAATTTTGTTGTGAAAAGTTCAAGATATGTGTGAAGAAAAACTAGCATGCCCAAAACCTCATCTTTACATATTTTATTATCACGAAAACACATGCACTTGGTTATGCTTTTCTTTTTTTGAAGAGTATAGATAACAATTTTCTCCCTCTTGGGAATCAACACTAGATCTCCTGCTTATGAAAGTAGAGCCACACCACAGACGCTGGTTCTCTTCCTCGGTATCCATCTGTTCTTTGGTTGTATGCTCTTTCATTGGATGCATCACTTTTTGCCGATGTAAAGAATGTATACTTTTTCTCAAGACTGATGGCATTTGGGAATTAGATTCAAAATCACTAAAGTCAGGCACGAATAATTTAAATACATCGGGGGATGACAAACGTCTTCAACACATCCATAATTCGGGTTAAGGGCTAAAGGTGATGAAAAATTGAAGAGATATCATTCAGGGAATCGCAATTTGTACGAGCTATTCATGATTTTCAGTGTCCGTGTTTTCCGTGCCCAACTACATTCATTTTTTCGGGGTGAAATATGAATTTTTAAAAATAGAATGGATTTATTGTTGCTTTTTTTACAGCCTAGTCGTGCTGATTAAGAAAATATATAATTTTGTTCACTTTTGACTTAAAACATTAATGTTATGTTACTTTTAAGTCAAAATCAGTTGCGCGTTTCGTCAATGGGCGGCCATATTGGCGGCCATATTTGGTCACATGACTTTGCATATTACGTAATACACTGTTTATCATGTAGGCAATTGCATAACCTTTCTGGAAATGTATGATTATCATATGTTTTACAGGGAACTTTTTCTTTGAACTAAGGAAAACTGTTGCCAAGTTGTCTTTCTCATGCCTCATTTCGCACATTTTGGTGCCATCCTCTTGTCTATACCTAAGTAATTAATTATCCCCGAAAAATGCTCTAATTCGCAAAAATAAACTTGCATAACTTTTGAACCGTTTATCCAATCTTCATGCAGTGTTTTTTTTCTTTCTCAGCTTCTTTAGCTCTATCTAGTGACATATATTTTCGTCAAATTAATCGCTTTTAAATTTGTTCGTGAAACCCGCTACTTAAAACTTGTTCATTCGTCTTGCTTTCGATGAAACAAGTACTTATCTCTTGAAATGGCGAGATATCTAAGATTGAAAGAGGTGGGGTCGCCTGGTTTCAGAGAAAAGGTTAGCGAGAAAATGGCCGCCATTAAGTTTGGTGACCTTCATAGCAGGAGAGTACTTGGAAACTGATAATGTACATTTTTGTACACCTGTAAGCAATGGGGCTTTTTTGAAAATAATAATAAATGTGTTTGTTTACGGAGTTAAGGGAAAAAAACCCCAATAAAAATTGCCAAACCGTCGAGAATATATGCTGAGGCGTTTTTTCTTTTCAGTAACATTATTTTGGCGAGTGCCCGAATTCACCACACTGCCTCACAAATGCAACCCCCCCCCCTCCCCTTATATATTTTCTCGTGTCTATTCGTTTGTTTGCTTTTGCTTCGTCTTTGGTTTTGTTTGGACTGTTTCCTTTTCCCTCTCTTCTTTTGTTTGTTTGTTTTGGGGGGTTCTTGTCGTTGTTGTTTTTTTGTTTTTTTTTCATTTTGTAAGTGTTTATTATTCTTTTTAGGAAAGATTTAGAATCTATTTTATTTACTTGTTCATTATTTCAGGGGTAAGCCCCCCCCCGCTACAATGCGATTACCCCCCCCTTTTACCCCTGAAATAGTGAACAAGTAAATACAATCTTTTGAAACGCAGATTTTATACCTTTACGCTCTCATCAACACAATTTAGATCATTTAGGAGGCGGGCTTCAGCCCTAATGAATGAGATACCAAATAACAGCAGAAGACCTGAAATACTCTTATTATAAAAATTCGCTCCAAGTGGGAATCGAATTCGGACAATTAGCGTGGCTGGTTGGCGGGTACTCTGTGATTTGCTCTTTCTTTCCAATCGAATATATTTATCGTCCTCATCTCTCCTCCGTCTGTTGCGTGTCTGTTACTCTCTTGTAACACTTCTAATCTTCGGCACTTATATTATGACCTAATTGTGTTGCAAGTGCTGTAAAACAGGCGCCGTGAAAAGACGATATCTCAACCTAACCCCCACCATTTACTGCCTCATATACCTAGAGGGCGTACACACTCAGCGTCAGTCCCTAACCCTCTACCCTGACCCCCTGATAGGGGCGTTAAACCTATACCATTTCACAAAAAATGTTAATAACGTTTGTTTATTTGGTTGTTTTTTGAGTGACATTATTATTATGCTCTTGCTCCAGGTGGCAGCCAGACTCGAATCCGTGCCTGTAACAGCCCCAGCCCCGCGCACGGAGGCAGAACATGCAGTGACCCACTCAATGAGGACCAAGATTGTAACACGCAGGAATGTGAAGGTAAGCAATATGTATTACTTGTTATAATCCTAGACCATGCACTCTAACTATTAAGTAGAGTACGCACCAAAATCTGTGGGATCGCTGAATTTCCTTCGGTTTGACCATTTTTAAGTCGATCACTCTTTGTTTGTTTGAGCAAATAGACGCTCATCGACGAGAAATCATTTAGTGCGGGGAAAAGGTCAGAAAGACAAACCGAATTGATTGATTTTTAAAACATTTTATTTTTTAACATTAACTACCGATGGCACCCTCAAACGATCCGTGGGGCTCTCGTGGCCTAGAGGTGAAAGTGTTTGCCTCTCATTCAAAGGTCCCGGGTTCGAATCCGGGTAGCGACCGAAAAATTTCTTCTCTAAAATCGTCTCCTTTCCCCTCCTTTCCTTCTCTCTAGCAATGTTCTTTCGTCTGCTTTCCTCTCCTCTTTCCATCCCCCACCCCGTCACCTCCTTTGCCCCCTCCCCATGGCTCCTGACTCTTTCTGCCGCCTTTCTGCTGCTACTCCTTGGCTCCTTCTACTGCTGTCTTTCAGCCATACTCCTTATCTTCTGGTAGGAAAGATCTACACATAGCCATCTCGGACAAGGGCAAAAAATCTCGGAGGTCCCGTGTGCAAGTTGCGCACGTTAAAGGTCTCTTGGTGGTATAAAATCGATTAGAGTAGGCTTCGGCCATCACCCGGGCAAAATTCAAAAATTTCCTACCAACTGAAAATGTTAGGTGTGTCCCGCGCGCTCATATGACCTTATGCATCTGAGCGCGTAAAACCCTTAGAAAAAAACCCAAAGAAAAAGCGATCCGTATTGGCCACTTTGGTTTAAGCTCAAATTAGATATTCTTGAACTTTTCATTGTTGTCTCCATCTAAATTGACACCTTGCAGAGAATGACCAACTAGACTGTGTCCGCCTGACATCCCAACATCTATTTGATGTCTATACTATGCCTGATGGACTAGGAAAACCGATGATTTCCGATAGCAATCCGACGTCGAATCGATGTCGGATTACAAACACCTTCGTTTTTCGATTGCAAGCCACTGCCAAAATGATGTATTGTATAGCCATGGTTTTTCCGATGGAAATCTGATGTCGAAACGATGTCGAATTTTTATCAGCATCGCTTTTCGATGTCAATCCAACGTAATCATCATTATCCTGTCCATGCCCCCATCCTTATTTAACCTACATGCCAGGTCTGATGTTAGTCAACGCCTCCTCTGGGTTATTGTCCAATCATGTCCCGATCCTAAATTCTGAACTTCAGCTGTGGTTTCGATTGTAAAAATAATTCCAGGCTGGTGATTCTCAAAAAAAGTTGAAATTATGCATCTCTAATTCAAGATCAACTTCTGGCGCCGACCATATTTTGTGTAACATAAACCAATTTAGCAGCCGATGAAACTTCATCTCAATTTTGTCCACATGACGGCGAAGCTTCTTTTCTCATTCGATTTTGAACCTCCAAGATTGTTTACCCTTGCCTTATCTAAGAAGGCTAGGTGTTAGATCTTACTGGAGTAGCAGTAGAAAGGTTGCAGGAGCCCAGAGGAGGGGGCAAAGGGGGGATGAGGTGGGACAGAACGTGGAGACGAAAGCAAACGACAGAACATGGTTAGAGAGCAGGAAAAGAGGTGAAAGAAGAACATTTGAGCGAAGAAAATTTTCCGTCGCTGTCAGGTTTCAAACCCGGGACCTATTGAATGAGAGACAAACGTTGCAACCTCTTGACATCGAGAGACCCTGAACAAGTTCTTTAAATGCGTAAATACACATTATGGTTAATTCTTAATAAGTTTGAAATTTTAAACTGTTCAAACCCCTTCCAAAACAACCCCCCCCCCAAGCTCTCGTGGCCTAGAGGTTAAGGTGTTGGCCTCTTATTCAAAGGTCCCGGGTTCGAATCCGGGTAGTGACCAAAAATTTTCTTCTCTAAAATTGTCTCCTTTCACCCCCTTTCCTGCTCTCTGGCAATGTTCTGTTTTCTGCTTTAATTTCCACTTTCTGCCCCCACCCCCTCACCTCCTTTGCCCCATCCTCTGGGC